CAGTCTGAAGTTGGGATGTGTTGCACACATTGAAGGTGTGCGCGCAGCCCCTGCCAAAGGACATACACATTTATCATTATTTATTATTATTGGTAGATTCCACTCCGATGGCCATGGCTGCTTGTACTGCAGATTTGTCATACCCCAGATTGTGCCATCGTTACCAATGTAGCAATGTAGAGTGAGATTTTGTCCGGAAGGTGATTGTTACGACTAACGCGCTTGTCCCGTTCCGGGCACAAGTAAAAAGTCCTCGTCCATATGCGTTCAATCAAATGAACCTTCGCTCGTTTTGGATTGCGATAATCAAATCTCAGGCAACGCGTAGCCCAAATTATCAAGAACCAAGTCGATCCAAAAATAATCTACTGTACTATTTTGGCATTGATCAAAATATACATAAGGCAGTCATCCTTTGATAGTGAGTCTGATTCACTATCCAGGCGAAATGTTACAAAAGTTCACAGAAAATATCTGCGGTAATAAAAAGGACATAGGAAAATGGGTGATTTGAATTATAATTCAGATAGATATGGACTGATAGGAAACGTTTGCACGCTTCAACAGATCAAGCAAAATTATCTTGAACGTTAAAGCCAAAGGGAATTCAATATAACCGAATGCAACGGTTAGTCCAACAAAGAGCGTCCAATCGAAACTTTGGTCGTAATAAAACAACCAGCCCTAAGGGAAACATGGTGGTAACCTTATGTAGATTCGTTTGTCTGGTGCAACTCTTCTCACCAGTTTGTCGTTGGACTGAATTTTGTTCATTTGTGCAATACAGTCTGTAACTCCTAATAAGTGTTTAGACCCCACTAATAGTCCCAGTACCCGTTTCCTATGTTTTGAGACTAGTCATGTGGAGCTACAAGGAGCAAGTATTTTCGGGGAAAAGAGTTTTCCTAGAAGGGCTTTTGTCTTCTGGGTGGGGGTCTGGTCCTTGTGAAAACGGCCCCATAGAATCGCCTTCCTAGCGCCAAGGTCTTCAGTTATCAGATTTTTGGCTGTGTCTAAGATATCTTGTTTGGATATCTTAATCGCTTGCGAGGTGCCTTTTGTTGTTTGGAGCTCATTTCGGATGAATAACCTAAGCTCCGAGAGCTTTTGTTCGAGCCGTAAGATATGAGCCTTTATGTATGCTATCTCTTCCGCTTGTGACTTTGCTGCGCGTTCTTGTGCAAAGGGGGAGTTGGGGGAGTTATGGTATCGTCTAGACACATTCCAAAGGTGTCGGCATTCATGTCTAAGAGATTATGCCGCACGGGAAGAGTAATCTCATCCTAGTCTTCACGGTTAAGTTGGCTATGAAGTGGAGTAAATGTCATGAGATTAGATCAAATTTGCAGATTAAAATGGAACAGATTTATCAAAGAACTTGGAGATTGGGTGTACACTTTATAGATGCGTTGATTGTGAGAAGCTTGGATTTCTAAGTTCCCTTTTACGGAGTGATAAAAACAAATGTGTGAATGTGCACAAAACAGAGTGATATGTGCAATCTATCTTTAGGAGAGCACGTCAAAAATTTCAGCGTAGCGTCAACTCACCGCAAGGTCCGTTTCATGTTATTCGTGTTCCGCATTTTTTTCCTGAACTTGCTTACGTGTCGCGCTGAATGCAGATGCTGCACTCTCATCCCCTACTTTTATCCCATTTCAGGTTACCTTCTTGTACAAACAGGTCGCGGATTATCTCTAATTATCCAACGATCGAAACAACATAATTTTGGCAGCTCACTTCTGAAAGAAACTGGACTGATTCTGCCTCTACCGCAAGTCCTTTGACCTGTCCTGCCCTTAACTGCGGTACACCGGTTTTTCCCACCTTGTGCTAAACTGGATTATTCTATTATGGTTGTTTGCATTCAGCTTTATCTATTCAATCAGAAATGCTCCCAAGAACACGTGTGTATCCTGCTACAGGATAGTAGGCCCCAGGGCTAAAGCACTCCACTGTGATGGTTATGATGGGGGGCTGCACCCGAAATGCACCCAAATCAACGCAGACAAACACAAATGGCTAGAGAAATCCCTCTCTTTATTTCTGAAGATCGTGTGCAGCAAGTGCTTGATCATTCCCTCCAAGGAAGAAGAATCTTTACTTCCAAAAAATCTCTAACCCCAATAACGTCAGCTACTGTTGTGAAAGTGGCCCTCCTTATGCAGATCTCACTTCCACTCCACTTATAGAAGCAGCTCCTGCAGCCGCACCGCCGCAGAAGCTGTGAAGCTCAAGTTACGGTGCGCATTGTAGACGGGGTCTATTCTCTTGTTAAGTAGTCTATGAAGCATTGTCATAAGTTCCAGGTTTTAAATCCGTCGATGTACGTGCAAAATAGGCGTCTAACACCCGGCCAAGAGGCTGAGGTGTTCCATGCGATGGATAGTTTTTAGATAACTAGGGAGCTTCGTGAGTTCGCTCTGACGCGTTTTGGTCGTAGACTCACTTGTGAAGACTTCAGATCGATCCGTCAACGACGGTCAACGACGGATAGACGAACCGACGCCGTTCGCGTTCGTGACTTGTTGCTTTCTGAAGGTGCCTTAAGAATCCGGCTTCGGGATAATGTAATTCGTTACGTATTCTTCGTTCCAAATGTAGTTATGGAACTGGCTAGGCGTCTCACCGACGTCATTTTGGCGGACGCGACCCACCAATTTAATTGTGGTGGTTATGTAATGTGGCATGCCATGCTAGTGGACCATTGCGGGTTAGGGCGTAGTTTCTTCTATGCGATTCTTCCAAATGAGAGTGGTATTAGCTACCAAACTGTGCTTGAGTACATGACAAGTGTTCCTCCAGAAAAACGTCGTGTTAAGACTATTGTGGTTGATCGGAGCTTAGCTCAGTGCAAAGCGTTCCGAATACAATTTCCGAAAGTATCAGTTATATTTTGTAGGTTCCATATCATTAAGGATATTGAGCAACGCTGCAATCAGATTAGTGGAACGGTACCTAGTGACAAGCTTTGCATATTCCATTGGATGCGGAATATGGTGTTCGCTACAAGTTAACAGAAGTTTGAAGGATTTAGGTCTGCCATAGAAGGTCGCTGCCCAGAAGCAATGGGTTACCTTAACAGAGCTCGGTTGCCTTATAAGGCTAACTGGGCAGGGATAAGCTCTCAATCGTTTTTTTACAACAAATAGGGTTGAAACCGAAAATTGGCACTTAAAAGCTGGTCTCAGCATTAGTTCATCATTGGAAAATGTCTTTTCAAATGTGCTACAAAGAGTAGCATCCTTGGAAGAAACATTTAGACAACGTCGCAGTAAGGATATAATGAGTTTATATGTTGCCCCAAAAGGTGAACGTTGGACCCAGTCAATACTCCAACGTCTGACTGATTTCGGGTGAACCATTCCGAAAAAGTTGTAAGCATTAGTTAAGGCAGTGGTTGTTGGTTAGTTACTAACAAAAAGAATCATGTTCGTAAAGTAAATTTAACGGCAGATTATATGTGCAACTGTTCATTCAGTGCACAGTGGTCGTTGCCATGCTTGCACATACTGAATGGGATGCATGCCATCGGCAGTGACTTGAAGGACATTAATGTAGACAGATGGGTCCACGGAGACTGAAGTATTGTAGTGGTTACAAAACCCGTTGCTGATGTTCAGAAAGCTCCTCCGAGAGTACCAATAAGGTCGGCTGCGAAGAAACTAAAAGCTGGGGAATATATATGTAGCGATCTCAACGTCGCCATGTCTTATTTTTGGGATAAGAACCACGAGAGTTTCAGTTCGCAAATGGAAATGCTACCACAGATCCTGGGTAGGTGACCTGACATTCAACTGTTATGCTGCCGACCGGGAATGTCATACGGTGTACCGTTTAATCGAGACACTGATTTGGACAAATTGTTCGCAGACTTCAAGTACCCTGGGAAACAGAAGACTCCTCAGACAAACGCGGGAATACTTTCATCAGTAGCATACACAAGTCATCAACCCAGTACTACTGTAGTCCGGAACACAGTTTCCAAACGAAAACCTGTTTTGGAAGCAAGGTCAATGGATGAGGAGGAGTTGGTGTTCATAGGTGACCCTGTGCAGGAGTCAGACTTTCGTCGCATGCGCACCTTAACTTCACGTATTTTCAAATTGGAGGCCAGACGACGTCTTCAGGAACCAACGTCTTCAATCTACAACCAAGTTTGCAGTGTATGTCGCCTTGATGAGCCACAAGTGGACTTGGACGAGGAAATTCAATGAGTTCAATGTGCCGGTTGTCAACGATGGGCCCATTTCAAATGCGCTGGATTCAACAACGAGGAAAAATACCTGTGCGTGCACTGCCTGAGTCGATGATCGAGATGGAACACGTGACCGACCGCCGCATTTTGATTCCCATTTTCCTTGACGTTCATTTCTACCGTTGGGCATATTAATTCCGGGTTTGGAACGGAAGAAGCTACAGCTATAACGATATTCACAATTAAGTACGGTCGTCTAAGTCCATTTCCAGTCACAGACGGTAGAATTTAAGGTTTGGTTATTATTTTCCGTAAGAAATACAGTATAGACTGTAACTTGCGTTGTAAGATAAGTATTCCTGTATGCGTAAAATTACTTAGAAACTAATAAATTAATCCAATGAGGCATCCTTGACGAAATATTGCTGTTTTACCGTAGGTAATATAATCCTGATTATTTCGAATGCCCGCCAAGCACAATTTCTTATGTTACGTGAGGAACAATAGAGACGCCAAGCAGGGCGCCAACACAAATAATGGCGCCGTAGAATGGTTCCCAGTTACCTCACTCTGAGTTTGCTGGTAACCTTGAAGTTGAAAGTGGGTTGCGCTACATATTCCACTCAACAATTCAGCACTTTACTTCGTTTTCACAAACATCATGACCATGTTTCCAGATCTTATTGTGTATTATATGAAACAATTTTTGCTGTAATAACTTGCCTGCCCTGATCGTGCATTACATGCACGTCTCTCGTTGCAATCCGAGAAATAACCATGGATATTATTATTAGGTGTGATCATGCTGAATTGGCTGCGAGACTTCCTCATCGATCAGAAATTCTGCGTCCGTGTTGGCAAATCGTGGTATTCCGCTCCCACTGCGGTCCCCCAAGGCTCGGTTCTTGATCCATTGCTCTTCGTGGTTTATGCGAACAACCTGTCCGGTCAACTGTGCAGCCCATCCTTCAGGTATGCGAATGGCATCAAATTCTGGCGTACAATCAAAGATCCAAATGATCGAAGTTCTCTTCAAGCGGATTTAAACAACCTGGCTCAGTGGACGGATACCTGGCCTCTTCCAGTCAACACAGCAAAGTGTGCTCACCTGCAATTGGGGCGTGCTGACCCAGAGGTAGTCTACAACTTCCAGGGAACAACATTGCGCAGAACAGCGTGCGAAAGAGACCTGGGGGTTTTGCTTACGTCATCACCAAAAACCCAAGAAAACACCGATCGGGTCTGTGTCAGCGCATGGAGCATTCTGAGCCCTATTCGGCTCACAATGGACGCTTTCCGACTAATGTACGCTTTCCATGTCAGAACAAGACTTGAGTATGGTGGTGCGGCGACATATCCCTGCACAGTCGGTGAACTTCAGAAAAGAAGACAAGTCCGGAACCGGGAATATTGGGCGCAGGCCTCGAACCCGAGTACTACTTCAACACTCAAGACTCAATTGGCCAAGCTGGAGCATGTACAACGTGCTGCCACTGGACTCATTGTTGGACTAAGTGGGACCATCTATGAGGGTCGTCTACAGGCTACTGATCTGTTCCCAGTTGTGTATCGGCTCCTCAGGGGAGATCTCATCTGTTTCAGGAAGATCCTGAAAGGTGATATGGACCCAGAGCTGCAACAGTACTTCCCTTTATGGACACAGAACCGCATACGGGTGAACTCTCTCACTTTGGGGAGCCTTCAGTCAGTTGGTCTTCCGTTAGTCTACTGACTCTCGCGGAGGTCACTAACACTCTGAAATTCCCTTCCAGCGATCGTGGTGGAGTATAATACAGGTCAGGTCAGGNCAGGACTAATGATGGCCACGGCCAATCGAGCGTCCAGATTTCTTCCGGCAGTATGCTCACAAGGTGTGCACCCACCACTGCGAATTACCTTTAGTACGGCGTCCTGCTGAAAAGGTAGGGAAGAGGCTCATCTCCTTTAACCTCATCGGCGAACAAGGGGCGTGGGTCACGACAGAATCCGCTTTCCAACTGGGTCTGGATGAGCATCTGAAGGGGCTATGGGGGGACGAACGCTTGTGATCGGACCTTCAACTTAGTGGTGATGGGGCTTACATGGGCACCCTGCCCTCTGCCCTCAATGCTGAAGACTAAAGACTGTCTGGAACTCTCATGCGCTGTAGAGCCTTGACCGCACACGGCTAACCGTGACGCAGGATAAGAAACATTAGACAATTTGTTCTGGCCTCTCACCTGTGTAATATTTATGGATTCCAAGACTTCACAACTTGACCTTGCGGTACGTTAGCGCCCGGTTTGAATTTCCACTGCGCTCTATCTCGTTTACGCTTTTTGTCCGGTACTAGTGAAATATCAGTAGATATTTCACTCAAATAACTCTTGAAGTAGTTTTACGTTTACCAGTGTCGTTTGCGATTTGTCAAAGATCACAAACTTATTGCAAGGCAATTTTTCCGCGTGCACTTTGGTGGCTCGCTGCCCTAAAGCATTTTATTGTTGAGTTTGGCAAAGCGTATTTTTCACGTTTTTGGTATCACCTGTGTCAACTTTTCCATAGTTAGAGGACGGTGTATATGAACATTTTTTGATTAACTTGGAATGGCACAATCGGAAGGTTCCAACGCGTGTGGGGCCAATTGTTGTGCAGAGTATGTCGCCGAGGGGATTCAGTGCGACGGCTGTGGAGTGTGGTACCACCAATGATGCTCTCAAATGAGCAAAAAGGATTATTAGCTCCACATGGAGCACAAGTCCTTTAAGTGGGTGTGCAAACACTGCGCAACACTAGCCGAGGAGTTCAGGAGAATCCTGAAGGCATCACTGGCTCCCATGAATAAGGATAACAAAGAGAAACCGTCATCCCTAAGTGAAAGTGCAGAAATAAAAAAGCAAGAAACCGAAACAAGGAAGTTAGAAAACATACTATGAGGCCTTTACAGGCTAAGAAGTCTGTGGTTAAACCTGAGGGACAGCCGAACTACCGGAAAATGGTAAAAAGGATTGAGCAGTTAGAGAGAGAACTTAAGCTACTGAAAAAGAGCAGTGAAGTGTCGCTGGGAAGAACTAGGAACTTGCTCCTGCATAATTGCGTGGAGCCAGTTATTAACATGGCGAAGCCGAGGCGAGAAGCTGAGCATCACCAAGTGCGAAATATTTTTAGGCTGGCAGGGTTGCCCCCCAGCTTCCCATATATCAAGTGCCACAGAATTGGCCTAGGGAAAGGGGAAAACTCACGTGGTCCAAGGCCTCTGTTACTGGTGTTTCCAAACATTAACATAAGAGATCTGCTACTATCACGAGCTTCAAGGATCGAGCATATTACTCAGGGGCGTATAATATTCCCCTCCAATAGACCGATCAGGGTGATTCACCCAGTAAGATGGAAGAATAATGTAAGCGGCCACCAAACCAAAGACGTAGTTCTTTGCGTACCAAGGACTGAAGAGCCTTTGAGCGGATCCACACCGAAGGTACCAA